ATTTGCTAGAGCTTGATGTTTAAACAAGTCTACGTCGCTGAAGCATGTAAATGCTATTAAAGCTTGTTAACGAACCATCAAAGCTAATTAGTTGATATAGATGATCAACTTTTATTATCGATTGAGCTAGTAAGTTATGTGAACTAATAGATATAACATTACGATAATATATGTGACCACTAATCAAAGGACTATACGAATACTGGGTTTACAAAAATAAAATCCAATTGAGAAGGTTAAGGTGGAAATAAGGATTAACAGTAATGGGTTGCGTTTCTTTAGTTGGGCTCACCAATGTAGAATTATGGTCTACTATGATATTAGTACTGCTCTAATAATAGACCTAATCCTAAATTTGTAGATTTGTCATGATATAACTGCCTAATCTATAAGATCTTACGTGGAAGTCACACCATCGACTACACCAACTCACTGTATCGTATCAATTACCAATACATGATGTAGAACAAGGTTAGGCTAGAGAAAGAACAATATATTTAATATGAATAGAAGATATAAAGTAACATTCAGCAGAGACCACGCCTGCATGGCCGAGCCATGCCACTCGATCAACTCCAGTCCATTCAATTCATTCTCCGCGCCTTCTCCATTGTTAGGTATTTCCCCGAGTTAAATATTGAATATCTATTTTCTGAGTAGTCTCGTGTTCACAGCTTTGTGGATTGTGTGGCTATTGTCCAATGCCACTACAAGTCCACCATCATAAGTGAGTCCCGTCGGCAAAAATATTGTAGCATTTCTCCTTGAAAACGACGATACGGCCACTTGGTGAGAAGATAACCACTAACCTCTCTTAAAGTCTTGTCATTTTCCGTGGCTTCTTTGATGGCCTTGAAGGAAACTGGTAAACCATCAACTGCGTCTTCCAAAACTCGATGTACTTCTGTTTCCGTCTCGATTGCCGCCATCAAAGTGTCTTCTTTCTGTTTTACTTGTGAACCAATCAGTCTAGATAAAGCGTTAGCTTGTCCAAAATCAGTAGTGAGCTGGTACTTGATCTTGAAGTCATAACCCAAGAGTGTAGTTCCCAAACGTTGCAGTCTGTTTGCAGTGTATACAGGTATACCTTTCTTCGACCCAAAGATGGCTAGTAATGGTTTATTGTCAGTTAATAGGGTGAACTGACGTCCAAATATCATCTTGTGAAACTTCTTGACAGCGAAGATCATCGACAATGCTTCCTTCTCGATCTGACTATAGTTACGTTCTGCTGACGTTAACGATCTAGCCGCATGTAATGTCGCCTTCTCAGATCCATCTGGCATGATGTGAGAAATAATTGCTCTAATGCCGTAGTTTGAAGCGTCTGATGCTACTACAATGGGTAAAGATGGATCGTAATGGGTGAGCAGCAGACTAGTACTTTCTTGATTTCATCGAAAGCAGCTCGGCAAGTTGCAGACCAATTCCATTTTACATTCTTCGACAGAAGGTTATTCAGGGGCGCACGTAATTGATGAAGGTTCGGAGTAAAAGCTCCATAATGGTTAACTAGTCTCAAGAAGGATCGTAGTGTGGGGATATCCGTCGGTCTGGGCATAGTTTTCACTGCCTGGGTATTCTCCGGATCTGGTCTTCTTCCATGTTTGTCGATTATAAACCCAAGGTAGCGTACTTTTCGCATACAGAAGTCACATATCTCTGGACGAAGTCGAAGTCCATATTCGGCTATTCGCGTCAGCACCTGGTCGAGCTTCTTTTCTAAGTCTATTCTATCTACTCCCATAATTATTATATCATCTAGATAAGCTGCAGCACCAGAAACATCTTGTAGCATATTATCCATTATTTGCTGAAATATGGATGGGGCCGTCTTGACTCCGAAGGGTAGTCGATTATACCGGAATAGACCCTTGTGTGTGTTTACGGTAAGCAGGTTTTTAGACTCGTCAGCAACAGGGATTTGTAAATAAGCTTCGGATAAATCCAACTTTGCAAAAAGCTTACCTCCGTTCAGTTTAGCAAAAAGATCTTCAAGTAAGGGTAATGGATACTGATGAGTTTCTAAGGCTTCATTCAACCCGGTTGAGTAATCGGCACATAAATGAACTCTACCATTAGTCTTCTTTACTACTGCTATCGGTGTGGTCCATTCTTAGAAATCCACTGGTTCAGTGACACCTAGTTTCTGAAGTCGTTCTAGCTCTTGTTCAACCACTGGGAGAGCAGCATATGGTACGGGTCTCCTAGGTCGAAAAACGGGAGTAGCTGCAGGCTTTAGGGTTAAAACTGCTTTGGCCTTCGTACATTCCCCCAATCCTTCTTTAAACACGTTTTGGTGTCTTTGTAGCATGGCATTTTTCTGGCTCCACTCTGAGGTGTTTTCAGTACTGACTCGTCTGCAGATACTGTTTAGAGAATGGTCTGCTAGTTTAAGTGTTTCTATAAGATCTAACCCCATTAAGTCGAGTGCTGGATTCTTTGTAAGATATACTGTTGCATTTGTTGCTACAGTACCTTTAGAAACAGTGCATGGCACTTATCCAACAATATTTAACTTCCTCTCAGAGGCACTGTGTGCCAGCTGTGTCGTTGGGAAAACTGTGGGTCTTCCAATGTTCTTCCATGTTTCTCGGCTGATTAGAGTAATATCAGAAGCTCTATCAAGCTGAAGGCGAGTACGGTGTTTATTAATATTCAAGGTTACGTACTTTCTTTGGCGGCAACTTCGTGCTTTGTTATGTGATACCAATATTTTGTTGGTTGGAGCACTATATTTGTATTTCTTTGAGTAAGGTTTCAAGGAATGTTGTTTATAGTTTCTTCTCCTGCAGAGGTTTTCTTTATGCCCCTTCCGATGACATTTGCTGCAACGATGTTCTTTATATGGTCAAAACCTCTTATAGTGCCAACCTCCACATGCACAGCATGGAGATGATGGTTTGTCGCTGTTATTACGATAATTATGTGTGCTGGAACCTTGAAAGACTTTTCTCTTGACTGCATTGACGTTATGGAAACAGTTATCGTTTTCTACCATTGAGGTATCATGTTTCGAGTTTACTAACCTTTGACACTCGGTAGTCACTACCTGTAGGGTCATGTTAGGGCAGTGTTCGAGTTTGCTTAGGATTCTGGTTCGGATATTGGCATCCTCGGGTGAACGCAGGCTACAGATAAATACTAAGCATTCAAACTGATCTTCAGACATGGACGACAATCTGAACCTCTCACATTCTCCGTTCACAGTTCCTGCATGCTTCACCCAATCATCTCCTGGTTCTTTTGTTAACTTTAAGCACTGGTAACGGATATTAAATAGAGATGATTGTTCTCCGAATATTTGGGATAGGGTTTTGACTGTATCATCAAAACTAAAATCTCGTGGGTTCTTCGGAAGAATGAAGTTGCTATAGCGTTCATGTTCCATAGTCCCAAGTTTTCTAAGAAGTATTCTGACTTTTGAAGCATCATCCAGTTTGCAAAGATCAATATAAAACAAATCTTCATACTTCTTAAACCACGACTCGAAAGTTACACCTGCTACACCATCAAAATTAAATTCATGGATGGCATTAATGACTGAATCAGTATGTGATACTTGAGATTCACTAGAAGCAGGGTTTTTCTCGGACAGGCAGAATTTCTGCATCAGGGTTTCCATGATTCTAATTTGGGACTCTTCAAACCTCTTTTCTTGACGCACCATATAAGCTTCTAATTGCTCCAAGGAAATATTCATCGTAGTTTTCATCCCCGTCGCCACTGATAAGTCGTGTAGATTGAACGCTATATACGATTCCTAAGCTATTTCGGTAACCCGCAGTCTAGAACTACACAGCGACTTGAACACCAGAGAGAAGACACAAGTATGAGAGAAAAATACTTTATCCCAAGATTCATTTTTGTACAGAAAATCAAGGGTATTTATAGATGTTGGCGTCTGTTAAATTAACATAATATTTCAGCCAATCCGTTAACGACATATTATGCTACCGATCAATAGTAGCACGCCACGTTGGAATTCTCGAATGTTCCATCATACTCTGATTGGCTAGGACCCTTCGGCTCCTTCTGGGCCTCTGGAGGCTCCGTTGAAGTTCCCCGGAAGGCGGCTCAACACTTCGATGGGGCAATCCACGTAATGTTATGACGGCGAGGTGTGACTGTGACGTTATCTGGTTCGTCACACCATTCCCGTCTAACTCAATTAGGCCTTCAATCATTCGACGTAGATCATCTACGCTGATGATTTACAGAAATAAATAGGTACAGCATGGGGAAAATGCCTTTACCCGTAGTCTGGTCTTACAAGGATCTTGTGGTGACAGAGTCATGCTCTTAAGACCACGGCCCATTTCCTGGGGGCTCGCAGATAGGGGGTTTAGAACCCTCTGAGATTTAAGACGGACATTCATCAAGTTAAATACTACCATGTTCACTACAGTATGCAGAACCTTGGTGAGAACTAAGCTTGAATATTGCGTTCAAGCTGCAAGCCCCAGTTTAGAAGGTAACATACAGAGGGCAGCTACCTGTACAGTTGCAGAAATCCGAGGTTTTCCATACAAAGAGCGTCTCGGAAAGCTAGACCTCCTTACGCCGTCCAATAGCAGATTAAGGAGTGATCTGATTTTAATGTATAGAATACTAAGAAATGATTTCGGACCTAACATATCCTCTCCTTTTCTTCCCGCCAGATCAAAACATCTCAAAGGACATCAATTGACACATTCAAGAGAAAACTAAGCACCCACAGAAGCATACTAGAAAGGGAATAAAACAAGCCATAGGCCTTCTGTCATTACTACCTAAAACAGAATCTGATGTTCGAATCGCTGAAATTCAGTAAGGAAATTTCCGGAAAGTTGAGAGTTGGACAGGGTGGTTTCGAAACACCTAAATCAAGGAAATCAACAACAGTTAGTCCGGTTTTTCACGAGATTGTATAAGAATTCGGACTATTGCTATAACCAATCTACGTTCGTGCAAGCAAACAGAAATTGTTCGTATCGATAATGTCTATTCAAATTGTAGACTCTAGAAACGCGCACTAACTAAAACGCTGAAGGTTGTCTGAAGTAGTGTGCGCATTCTCGTGAGTCACGTATTTCTCTGTCGCTTGTTAGTTAATTGGTTTTAAAATCAACACTGAAAGCTATGGTACTTAAAACATCTACTCAGCCACTCTCAACTGGTACTGTTGTTGTAAACATCTTTTATTCATCAGACGTTATTGAACAGAGGTTACGTGTTTTGGCTGAACACAATTCAAGATTTAAAGTCCGTGTTCCAATATCCTGGCGTACAATTTTATTTTGTTGGTCCTCAAATCCACTCTGGCATCAGGTTCTTTTGTTTTAATAACGAGCGATAATGTCTCGTAAATTACAATCTTTTCGAGTTTATTTTACTGTCAGCACAACTTTGAAGTTTGTGTTAGTATTTCACTCTAGTTGTGAGGTTTGGTGGTAGAAAGCAACCAGTTTATAGTTGCTATGCGCGTGTGACCGTAGCAGTCATGGGACATGTCCCAAATTTTTGAATCCAAATAAGATTGTGTATGAGCTGCGCTGGAAGTGGATTCAGTGACGTTTAGCCTAACAGGATCATCACCTAAAAATTTGCTGTTATGGAATCTTCCTATTTTAAGAAGAGAGATCGTAATCCTTTTCTGTTTTTATTTCCTTATATGGTCGGCGAGCGACGGGTTTTTATGAAAATAAACTCGACCTCATAATTTTGCTGCCGTCCTATAGTATTATCCTCTTTACTTCTTGAATATCATCTTGGGTGCCGATGTTGTTTTTTCCTCTCAATTTACGCTCCTGATCAGCGTTATTTGAGGAATTTGTTGTCTATGAGAAGCACCTTCGTGGTGTCATACTTATTCATAAGTTGTAATACAACTTAAATACGATTGGTTAGACACGTAATTAAATCCACTCTATGTTCTTTACGTAATAGGTCCATCACTTTTTCCACTCATACGCCTGTTTCTTACTTTGGTGTTACTTATTTTCCATTGTTTTTTTGTGATATCACGATTCGCCCCAACTCAAACTGGTGCACTTTTGTACAGGATTTAGTGTTGCGATGGTTGTCTGTTACCATCTTCGCAACTAATCTCATGCCTAAAATGTGGAGAAAGCTAAAGGTAACCTCAATAACTAGGAAAGTATCAGGCTATACGAATGTGAAATTTAGACCCATAACGATAATTTCACCTTTCCTCAAGTCAGTAGAAACATTATTGCTACTCTCACTTCAACTTGCACTAGTAAAACCCATCGGTCTGTGTCAGTTTTCTTACAAATGCAAAAGGAGCACCTTAGATACTGTTGTTGTTCTGAGTCATAATATAATGTTCAGTTTAGAAAGGGGTAACAAGTACGTTCGATGCTCTTTTCTGGACTATACCCCCTGCCTTTGACTGTATTCCAAGACAACTACTTAACAAGTTAACCAACGTCAACACTGACAGTTTGACAGTCAACTGGATATATTCCTACTCCTCTGGAAGGGAACAATACACTGTTTGGATGGAAGCTTGGACGTTCCTACTATCTCATGGAGATGTGTCACAAATAACTATTCTTTTCCTTCTGTTTTTCTTGTTTATTCTACATGATCTGCCATCTTCCACAGAAAACGTTTTTGTTAAACATGTGGGCGGTCGTGCTGTATGTATGGCGATTTATCCCTCTTTACATCCGCCTGAAATGAATGAGTTCTTGTCTCATATTGAGTGGTGGTCTGTTGATAATGGTCTCACATTTGATCTGTTTAAATATCAAACTGTTAGCCTTTGCCTGAGGCACGAATGGCACCTAAACACCCCGTTGGAATTCCATTAAGTGTGTACTATTGGAGATTCCTTGATAAACACTGACATGCCATTTATTCTGGTGTAAATTTTTCCTCTGATCTCTCTTGTTGTTCTCATGTTTTGTCATGGAAGAAAGTTTTCCGTCTAGCTTACTACATAAAGAGGCTACATGATTTCGGGATTATTCGACATTTGTCCTTACAATTTTTCAATTCTTGCATATTACCTATTATTCTTTACTGTTCTGCATTATTCTTCCTGGGCTTTTGAAAAGAACTACTGTATTGCTGGGAGTACTGAAGACAGCAGGGTGTGTGCTGAGTCTTTTGAGGTTATTATTATTATGGTTGTGGATAGACATCCAAAATCTTGCAAACTCCTGGCAGTTTTCATCTTATCAGATGCTAACTATCCACTTCATTCGTATCTTTTTTCTTGTGTTTATTCTGGTAAAACGAGATGTCAGTACATCAGAATGCATGCACGCAAGCAAAGATGTGATGGCTCTAAAATACCTTATCTAACAAACATGTGTGACGAACAGGTTGTTAGAGCTGATCTAGTCAACAACTTGGATTCTCAAATATGTTTCTAATTAAAAAGTTGTACAGATTCAAATCACCTTAAACACATTTCGTTAAATTCTGGGTAGTCTACCTACTTAACTTATGTATACATGTATGTGGTTATCAGTCTCTTTCACTTTGCTTTCTTTTTTGTAAAATAAACTTGTTGAAATACCTTGTGTTGAGAATTCTACATTATACCAAAAATGTAGTATTGAATAAAGCCATTGATAATGGTAATAATAATCAGTTAACTGACAATAAATGGAGCTGATAGTGATTAACAGAGAGGAAATGCTCAAGGACAATGAGTTGTGAGTGTTTGTAAAATTTCATAAAGAATGTTGATACAGGACTGCCTAGTCGACTGACCAGATGTTATTTCCTCTTACTAGTCTCAGTTACTTCAACCCTTTGGTCGTATATTAAAATTTATTCATCGTACTTAATATCAGGTATCGCTAATTTCTATGAATTATCTAAAACCTCTTGAAAATGGTTAGTCTAATGTCTTACTCAAATTTTTCCAGTGATGTAAATGGGCAAACCAGCATATCAACAATATAGTCCAATTTATTCCTCTTCATAGATTTTGTATGAAAAAGCATCTTTTTTCAGCAGGTGAAATTAAACTTGTTTCAGAACAGCCAAAATATATTATCTATCTCGAATGGAAATCAAAGTTTCCAACTCAATGCTAACTGGTTTTATTATTATTATTATTATTTTTATTATTATTATTATTATCTCCTGAGACAAGTCTCAATCACCAGTCTCTCCAGGATTTAAGAAGTGAAGTTCTTCAATAGAGTAACAGTCATTCTTATTGTTGTGTATGGGACATTTTATATTTCAGTACTATATTTCTTCATTTAGATTTCATTAACCACTACTATAACTGCTTAATTTTTACTTGTGAAGTATTTGTCGAGTGGAGGTTTATGTAGTTTTCGTTGCGCTATAAATTATATGTGGGGTAGTTACACTACTCGACCGTTGAGACCAAAGTTTATGGAATAAGATGTAGTGTTTAGAAGTTGTGGTTGTAGTACTTTCCACTTGGCGTTTTGTCTGATAAGCCACTTCTCTGTTACTCTTTGAATTTTATAGCATAGGAAGTGTAATCGCGGTAGAGAAGTGCACATGATTTAGATTCTGTTTTTCAGAATATTTATATTTGTAAGTTTTAAGCTGGGCAATATGTCAGGTAGAATAATGTCACTAATTTTTCAAAATTATTATAACCATTTATTACTGATGAATGTCATATTCAGTTTTAATCTCTAACCATATTCATTGAATAAATCTAGGCGGTGATTATTATTGTGATTCTATCTCGGAAACCGTTTAATACACCTTTGTTTAGTTTATTATCTTGCCCAAATAGATGTCGGTTTTGCACAACTGGAACAAATTTATCTGCAACAAGTCTTAGTATCATTTACTATTTTTATTTTATAGACCCATCAGTCATCGTTCTTGAGATTCTAAAGTATTCATACCAATAGAATTATTTTTATTAACATTTATATTGTCATAAATAATAAGGATTAAAAATTTGATTAACTGTTTGATATTAATTGATTTTTCGCTTCAAACCTGATCAACTGACATTAAATTCCTACACTTCTTAAGTGAAGTGATTTGTCGTTTATTTTAAAAATCAATAATTAACAGTTTTTCAGTGTTTGTGTACAATAAAAATCACACTTTTCGTATTTCCTATTTACATATTTGTAGGCAAGTCTTTTTTCTATAATTTTCAATGGACAGTGATTATAAAAGCTTAATACCTCTGAAAATGATAAAACATCTTTCTTAGCCTACAACATACAAATTAGTTTTCAGAGCATTTTATTATAATAGTTATTGGTTAGTCTACATTTTTCAGTTCCTGAACTGAAACTCTTGTGTGTTCTTCATAGATCGTTTATCTTATAGTATAATACTTTTCTCAAACATCATAATACGATCCCACAACAATTTTTTAAATTATTGATATAAAACCAAAAACAAGCCAGTTCTGTTGACTAGATTTTCAAGATTTTATCCAAAAATATTACCTTAAAGATTAGTTGCACTTAATATTTTACATATCGTAAAACTCTGTAGATTCATTTATTTACGGTACAGTTTTCACCAAAATTATGGGTTTAGTTTCTATAAAAGTGTGTATTTTGATACCGAGTTGTTCAAAGGAGTTACTTTTAAGGCAATCTATTGCGTGTAAGGAGTAAAGAGGACCAATTTCTCTGCTTGTGTTTCATCAGAGATTTATGTTGTTGGTTAGTAGCTTGCCAACTTATGCGAACTATGTGAACTTATTATTGTAATCCAACATGGGAACAAGATCATGTGCTGTGTGTTAGATTAAATTTGTTTAAAGAATAGTTATAATATTTGACTTTTCAAACCGAAACTTCACGAATATAAAAGGCTATTTTGCCTATATAAGTCACCTGTAACCCAGTTGAGGTATGTCTGCATATCATAAAGCACATATACTAAGCAGAAACTCGTTCTGCTTTGCCCTATAGATGTAAAACATGTACTTTGGAGTTAGAGGACATGGGTATGTTACTAGTATTTGATCAAGACTCAACATTTATTCATGGGGTTTTTGGTCATTAGTCTAAGCTGTTTCGACAGATCCCGACTGTCTGATTAGTGTTCACTGAATTATAGTGATCAGTACTTGAAAACTTAAGATGACATGGCTTGAAATCATTTTTTGTGACGTACTTATTTTTCTATCGTATTCTAGGTCTTCGATTTCAGTTTTATTACGTGCTTAACATTTTCAAGTCTCATTAGTTCTTTCTGAATCATAATTTGTACGTTTAGTCATTTTCACTCCTTTTTACTCCTTCGCTATAGATTTTAGTAACTTTCTATTTCTATGCTAATGTGGCGTGAGAACTTGCAGCGACTCGCATTTTCCTTAGTTTATACCTTATTTATGACGGATTCATTTAACTGCTTCTCTTAGATAGTAATGCAGTTGTTAGGAAACGGGTACTAGGTAAGGATGGCAAATCAATTGATGACGTAGTGAAACTTCATCAGTTGAGATAGCTGGGACATGTGTTACGTATGCCCAACCACCGACTGCGTCGACGTGCGATGTTTTGTTGTATAGGAGTAGATTGGAAGAAAGCTAGGGGCGGCCAGACCAAAACATGGCACAATTCCATGAAGTCACTGACAAGTAGACTGAGCCATTTTGGTAGGTGTAGACTACCTGGTTGGGGACCGCGAGATGATAGCAACCGATGGTTAGAGACCCTGAATGACATGGCTCAAAATCGTTTGCAATGGCGCAGGTGCATACACTCTTTGTGTTCTTCCAAATTCTAATCTTCTGAATTCTTCATGTCCCTTTCTTTTTTCTCTTTCCAAATTTATTTCACTGTATTATATTCCTTGAATAACATCTTCAAACCCTAATATTTCTGATTACAGCTTATAATTTTACTACATCTAGCACTACGGAATTTGAATCGATCACTGCATCTCTGTGCTAATGTGATGTGGCAACTCGAACTGATGTACGTACGTACGAAGTTCTACGTTGTTACTGACTGACTGCTTCTCTTAGATAGTTAGATATTGTCATAACTAACAAAAAGCTTACATATACTAGAAGTCTTAGATTTCTTCTATTTCCTTTAAACTTTGAATGTTATTGCTCGTTAAAAGTTCATCCATAAGTTCTTGCCGTTCCTAGACTTAGAATATGTATACAGGAAGAAAAAAATTCGTGTTAAATGACTCAGTTACTCTGATCATTTTACATTTGAAGGCTATCAATGAATAGGGTAAGTTACTAAATTCAATCCCACTAATAATGATCGCTCAACTACAGTACGTCGTGCTGCATTATCGATCGGTTAACACTCTGTTCACTCTAAAGATCGAAATTTTATGTTACAAACAATAAAAATAATGCCCCCAAATGCCCTGGTACGGCCGAGAGTGGGGAGAGTCCGCTCTCCCTCTCCAAATGCTCTTACATGGCCACGCGTATATAGCCTCTGCCAGGGAAGTCCTACTCATTGCCTTCTCGTGTTGTTTACGAAATTGAGAGGACAAAAAGTGAGTGTCCGGCTCTTTAACCGGGTTGGCGGATATGAAGAGTCCACCTAGGGGAGTTGGAAAACCCTGATTCCAAACTAATGGTGCATATGGGTTCCAGAATCCTGAAGGAACAAATGGCGTATGAACCAATTATTGGTCATCGGATACCATGGGTCTGCATCTCCCTACCTTGCTCCATTGCCTTGTGGATCAGACCTTTAGGTCGAAGGCTCCGGGTGTGGCCTCCTAAGAAAACCACCTGCTTCAGTTTGGGCACCCGAGCAGTACCACAGCCCACACAAATCAAGTGACTTGTGTAGTGAATATGTATTCAGTGCCCCTTTGTACCAATATTTGTGTTCAAATAAATAAATAAAATAATCTCACTAATAGTTATCAATCAACCTTCACAAGGAAATACCACTGAACAATTATTTATGTATTTGTTTCATTCTGTTAGCTGAACAGCTAATTTTGGAATTTACTTGTTTCTGGTTCAACTGTATCTCATCTGTTGATTATAGATAGCAGCCTAATGAGTGCTTAGTAGGAATTTAGTGTCCGACTTTAGTATTGTCGTATTTAGTTTTAACAATACTTAATATGTGAATAGTTTGATCTGCTAATATATGGGATGAGATTTTTATAACTTCCCTGTAAACTGTTTAAAGTTCAAACGACCCTTGTGCCTACCTGGATACTTTTAGACTATATATATATAATGAAAAAAACTGTTAACTTGTCTGGTTACGTAACCAATCGTGTGAACGATGAACTCGCTAAACTAGGAGAGTAACATTATATGTGAAAATTATATTTGAAATAATCTCAGCGATTGAAATATAATTTTCACATATAATAACTTCTCTAAACTCGGCGCCCAATTTCATTCTAATCTTGACGAATATTCGTATAGGAGAGTAACAGCCTAAGCTAAAAATTATTTTTATTACCACCTACTGTTAAACGCACTTTTGATCTTTTCAGAATGAACAATATCTAAGTAAATTCCCCCCAAATAACTACTTCACACCCAAAATTGAAGGAGCTCAATACTTACTAATTTGTTTTAGAAAATTATGAAGGATAAAAATTGTTCATCTCACTGTCGTTGTATATGCCAATCCGATACTGACGTCAACAGTAAGAATGGTACAGTTACTAACGGTAAAACGCTGCTAACTACAAACTACACGTTTGTTAAATTGAAACCAAATACTATAACAGATATCTACATAAATTGTATGTTATTAACATGTATTTTAATCACTATCTTTGTATTTTCTCGACCATTTACAGAACATTTTATAATACGTTTAGTATTTGGTGAATCTTTAAATTATTGTAATTATACATACATACCTTCAAAATATAACTATCGTCGACCATATAAAATTTACAATTAACACTACTATTACTAATATATATTTTTTCTAATTAGCAATAATGTCGTTAGTATTTTTGTTTTTGCATTTCGATGCCTTTCTTTCTAAACTTTATTCACATCTTCCTATTTCAATTCAATTGTTTCTGGTAATGTAATAAAGCCTTAATATTATAGAAGAGTAATCTATGCATATTTTTGTATTTTCTTTCAAAACTATACTCTCAACACAGTGACAAATACATACCAATCTCATATCTACCTGTTATTTTTTACAAAAAAAATTTATTATTTACCTAACTTCATATGATGATTTTGATTTGATATGATGTTAATGTTATTTATGAAATGAATATTTTGTATTTATTTAATCATTACTTCTTTTTATTAAAAGTAACGGATGATTCCGAAATCCTTGAGGCTAAATTATTTTGTTTACCCCTCTATAATAAAGGAGAATAGTATCTATAACTAAGCCAGTTAAAACTTGAATTTTGTGATTGAGATGCAAGTTACTGTTATTGGTGATATATATTCTAACTATTTTATTCCTAGTCCTTAAAAGAAAAGTCCCGTTAGAGATTTCCCAATAAATTAATGTAATTCAGCTAATACATTGTAAATTAAACTATTTGATATGGAATAAAGTTTTAATGTTTTTATCAATAAATTTCCAACTGTGAAAATGAAAGAAAAGAATACTGATCAATCGACTATGTACAATGATATTATAGGGCCGATTGATGTCTGGTCACGAGACCAGATTAATGACGTATGCCCACGAATGATTTGGAATAGAAAAAAAACCTCTAGCCAAAAGAACAGATTTTTGTGTGGTAATATGACATGCTTACATACAAAATAGACATGATAAAATGTCGTCGGCTATTGAAGGATGGTGGCTATTGGTGGATTACTCACTGTCTAGTCCATTAGGCGTAATTCTTGGGCATCGTGTCACTATGGCCTTTCCCAGCAGTGATAGGACATATGTTCTGTAACATTTTTTATGAGTATATTAATTTTACGGAGATTCACAAATAATCCCTGAATTTAGATTTTTTAAAAATTAACATAGATACCTCAGAGGTTTCTCATTTATATTCAACCACTGTTTATTCACACATCTAGTGTTAGACGCTTTCAGTGGCACTTAGACGAAGAGACAAAAAACAACGTAGAGTATAGAAAAAGTATGTATTTGTGTAAATAACCAGCGGCTTATTGGTTAAAGTACTCGACTTATGATCATTTAGTCGCTTGTTCAAACACGAACTATTTTAGTTTGGACAATCGGATAGTGTCATGTACTCCACACAGCTGTGGATAGGGATCTATATTCGGTTGCCAAAACGTAAATTGCGACATTTCACATCGACAAGAACGAAGATCCAGAATTGAAGGTTATGTTAATGCTTATAGTTGAAAATTATATATATGTATGAGAAAGGGTAATACAAGAATGAAATTTAGACATATGTAGATACTCTTGTCAATAAGTTTAATAATTGTATGTTGAGCAGAAATTACTCAAAACGCAATATATGTCCAGTCCAATTTAATATACTTCATACGGACCATCAGTCCATTGTGCTACACTAAAGAAACATAGGTGATAGAACTGTTCCTCTATTTTAAGCAGAACTTTGTTAGCCTTGAGATGGTGGAGAAGATTTGTAGCTCAGGTGGATGATTTTGGCGGAGTTTTGTTCTCTGAGCTGGATGGTTTGGTCGTGGAGCTTTCATCGTTCTTCTGAACGACATCATCAGCACAAACTTCTATCTGAAGTTTGTGATGATGTCGTTCAGAAGAACGATGAAAGCTCCACGACCAAACCATCCAGCTCAGAGAACAAAACTCCACCAAAATTTGTTAGCCTTGTTTGGATAATAGAATTATGAGAACGCTTAAATGCGTATGGTTAGATTCAAAGTAGACCTTTATCATTGTTCTACCACATGAATTTATATTCTAGCTTATTGTAAGCATGAGAATGTTTAGAACACAAATTCACTCTGGTTTGTCAAAGTAGTAGAAATTCTAATACTGAAACCTGATTTATGTATCCAGATAGAGTTAGCAATCAACTTATTAACAGCTTTCACTTATATCAACCGCTACTGTGGTGTATGCTAATTAAGCTGACATATATAAATGGCCTGTAGCCGCAGTCGGAAGTGGAGTGCCTGGCAGCAGAAGACTGAATTGAAGAGAACAGGTATGTAAATACAGAGCAATCAAAATGACAACAGAATTGGAATAATCATGAAGTATGTTGAGGACGGCTGAAGGAACATGTGCAAATGATATATGATTCTCATATTTTACAAAGCAACTATGTAACTATACATTAGACAATAAACTGTTCTCGATCATTACACTTATTATTATTGTTAGTGTTTGTTATCATAAGCCAATCAATGTCAGACCACCATTGAAAACACTAAAGTTTTGGATGGCCGTTTCGTCCCTGTATGGGACACCTCAACATTGCGCAACCAGTACCCTGCATGCAGGAATCAAGCCCGAAACCTTCAGTCTCGTGCGTAAACACCTAACCTTTAGACCACTGAATTGGTATCCAGTTCTCCCAGGTTTTCAATGATGGTCTAACATTGATCAGTCGGTGATTTCATTGAGACTCAAGAATCTCCACAACCCTATACTGATTATTATTATTTTATGAGTGTTTATTTTATTTAGTTCTCGCCAAACAAATTCTCATTTCATGCACACCAAAATCATCCTTTCATTCGTCGGTATTTTTTCGTTTAATATGTTCTCTAAACTTATGTGGACTCTTCAAATCTTATGTACTTATGACGTGACCCTTTAACTTTTAATTCTAGATAATTATCACCTAATTGCTGTAAATTTTCTATGTGTGAATTCATATTATTCTGTCTCAATTGTTGTCCTGGATTTATTTAAATTCACATTGTTTTCTCATTTTAGATTAAGTTCAGCGTCCTCAATAGAATAGTTTCTTTATGATTGAGAACTACAATATAGTGTTACTTCTCTCTCTCTCTTTCTCTCCCTCTGCAAAACCCAAATTCTGATAATAATCATCATGTGCTCACTAATGACTGGCTTCATGAGGTATTTCCTGGAGTTCTGGTGAGAAGCCATGACCAGGGGAGTTCAGCCGAGTCTGTTGCAAGATAGTAACTCACTGAAGGTAATGATGGATGTGTCGCTCAATTTCGTGGATTAATTGGAGTTAGACATTAACACTGTTGGATGCCAGCTCACTGATCTAGAGGTTAAGTGCTCGTGAGGCGGGATTGTGGATGCGCACTGCTGAAGAGTCCCATGTGAAGACGAAACGGCCGCCCAGTGCTCCCGGGTTTTCCATGGTGCTCTAGCTTAAATTGACTTATAATCTCAACTATTAGGTTACTACAATCTCCACAAAACCCCCTTTTGACAATAATCACTTATTATTTATCTCACAGATAACACTAGACATATATGTATTGAATTTCATTTTTCTTGCTACTCGTATGTAACTAGTTGTGATAATTATGAAAATTTACATGAAGTTTAATTTTCCAAACGTTGTTACTAACTGATTATTTTGTTGTTAACTCATCATTTAATTGGTATCAAATTGAAAAATGGGAATATTCAATCAATCCTTTGCATGACTTCTCTCCAATCGGGATTGTTGTTGGAGTGTTACATATTAGTCATCTGATCTATCCAGTTAGCATAGATCCCATTCAGTATTAGAATAATTGACCATTTGTTCGTCATTCAAAAAAAGAACCCAGACTCAATATACAACAGCGGGTTGATCCAATCTACTTCATTTGCTTGAGGTAGTTATCGTTAAGCAGTAGAGACTCATTGGTCTTGAATTCCTCTCGTATTTTTAGCTTCCAATACTTTCGTTACAAATTAATTCCGACTCAGTAAATGAGAGTGAGTGTCCTCTCACGAAGCTGTAAGTCTTGGGTTGGATTCTCGGTGGCGGGATCGTAAGCGCACAATTCTGAGCAATCCCGTGCTAGAATGAAATAGCTGTTCAGTGCTTCCAGGTCTTCAATGGTTGTCTAACTTAGATCGGTTCGTGATCTCAATGACATTCAACAATCTCCATAGCCCCACACTGATAATGTGAAATCTATCGAAGAGCTTAGATATATATCTGAGAAAGTTAAAAATATCTGAGTTAATAAATTAATCACTTTGTGTCGCAGAAAAGTGATACCAACTGGTAATTCAGTCTTTTCAATGGTTATTAAAAGGCAAAATCTGTTTTCCGTTCAAATAGCTCTACCTAAATGCTTTTAATAAACGGGTAGAATATGTTTAAATGTATTACGTGAAGTTAAATTTTGTTGTCATATGATTGGTATTATCACGGGATGAAAACTGGTATTTTAAGTATTATTTCTGTTACATTATTTAACAGTATTATATCATGAATTGATGACATAAAAATCAACATACTTCGTCTTTCATGTATATTTATCGGAATATTGCAGAATGGAATAATGCTAACAAATTCGTTATCAGACAGTTTCATGTCCAATATCATGTGAAAATTCTTCTTAGATAAGACAATTAGTCATTTCAGATCAATTCTTATGTCATGCTAAGAGATTTTAATATTGTTCGAATTTTATTTCATCAAATATCTAATGTGGTCAGTAAGTTAAGTATTGGACTCGACTGGCAAGATTAGATTTGATAATTCCTTATCGAATATCTCGAAATCGGCTGTAGTTACAAGTTGATTAAATTTTGAATGATGTCTAGTAGTAGAATCCAGGGAATGAATTTTGTTCTATTTGGAATTCGTCGATTAAATAGTACTTGAATCCTACTATTAACTCTCATACAGACTCGAGCAAAGCACCTACTGTTTAAAAAATCCCTATCATATCGAAACACTGATATATGCTTCAAAAACCACTTGGCTTTTACTTGGGCTGTTAAATCCCCAAAGTCATAGTATCATTAGAAAGGAACAAAATATATAATCCAATAATTTAGCTTTAGTTGTTAGTTAAATCAGTTTGAGGTATTTATTTCATAAATTATATGGACACATTGAATTATTGAATAAATAATGTCAACTACTATTAGCTCAATACATTTAAATTTATTTACTGACTAGACATTTAAAATAATTTGTATTTCATTGTAAACTTTAATATTGGTGTAATCAGCAATTGGCATAGAGATCAATCTTCACTTGTAGTCTTCTTTACATCAAGCCATATCAGTCTTGTTCCATTGAACAAATAGTAAATAACGGTTTGTTTTACATTTGTAATAAA